AGGAAGGTTAATAGAGAAATGAGGAGGCAAACTTTCGAAGGATTGAGAAAGGAGAAAGGAGAAAGAAGATGAAGCTTCTTTCTTTTTTTCTTTTTTTTTTAGGGTTTGAGTTGGTTGGGAAGCTGTAAAATCTAATTTGGAATGATAAAAAATACCAAATCATAAATAAAAAAAGGTTTTCGTTTACACATCATTTTTTTTTAAACAAGGATTGATTTTTTTGGCAATTTAACTTGCCACTTGACACTTTCATTAATGAAAAGACTATTTTGGTACCAAAAACGAAAGTTCAAGGTAATTTTGGTATTTTTGAAGTTTAAGGATAATTTTGATACCAAAATGGAAAGTTGAGGGACCAAATGGTATTTTAACCTACTTTTAAAGTCTAATATAAATACCGCCTTGAAACGACATCATATTTTAGTTAACTGCAAATCAATTTCATCTTCCCCAACTACATTCATCCTGTGCTCCCCTTTTCCACATGGACTTCCTGAAAACCCCTGATATGGGTTCTCGATGCAGAGCTTCAATCAACCCCGGGTTAATAATAACAATGTGAATCACAGATTTTCCTCTCATCTTGTCAAAGCGGCCAGAAGACTGCCGCTCGTCCCACCCAATATCTAACGGAAGAAGATTACAAATTTCTCAACGGTAGTCCGCATTAGCTCATGGGCTTCCGGAGCTCACTAGACCCATCAACAGCGGCCATGATCAGCCTCGCACCTTAGGTATTTAACAAATTTTAAAAATTTTCCCCAATTCCCATCTGGGACCTGGGTTGAAATTAGTGTTGGATATTTTATTGACTTTCCTTGGTTGATTGTAGTCAAATAAGAATTGGGTATTTAACAATTCTAGTAACGGAAGAAATAAGATAGAGCAGATATGCTATTTAAGCTCCATATTAACAATCAAATGAAACAATAGATTCTAAAATAACTTTGGAACAACATTAATTCACTGTTTAGTTTGCTACAAATGATTTCTGGAATCTCAAAGTATGTTGACTTAGTGATGTATATATAAGAAGTAAAATATTTATTAGACATACTTTATGGGTACTTCTTTTATTAACCAAAGGAGGAAGTTATTTTGTTGACCATCCCTTATCAAAACAAGGTAGCCTTTTGATTCCCAGAATTAGATATCAAGAATTTCATTTGAAGAAGAACCATCAGACTTGACTGGATAACTTGAAACTTTTGGTTGAGATTCTATTTCATTTTTCATCTCCAATTCACTATTCACCAGTTCCAATAGAGAAACAGTTGGAAAAGGCTTCAAGAGTGGTCTTTGATGGGCAACGAACTGTTGAGACACAAATTTCATTGTTGGCCTGGACTTTGGTTTTGCACGCAAGCAAGCAAATGCAATTGTAGCAGCAAACACAATATTCTGGGTAAGATTTCGACTTCTTGGAGGGGATAGACGCATATCTAATATATCACTTAGCATCACATTTTGCAAATATGATGTTGATGATGACAATGTCAATAGCTCTCCAGGATGCCTTCCCATCAGTACTTCTAATGCCACGACTCCAAAGCTATAAACATCACTCTTCTCACTCCCAATAATCGTATAGGCAAGTTCTGAATAAAAAAAGCATACAAAGTTTAACATGTCAATTCAATATTAAATGATGAAATTAGATAATAGAAGAAGAATGGTGATGGAGAAAACCTGGGGCAATATAACCATAAGTGCCAGCAAGTACGGTATAACTAGATGAATCAGGATCCAAAAACCTAGAATTTCCAAAATCAGCAACAAGAGCCTCCAATTTCGAGTTCAATAGAATGTTGTTGCTTGATATGTCCCGATGAAGGATGGGTGGGATGCAATCATGGTGAAGGTAAGACAAAGCATGCGCTATGTTTTTTATGACATTCACTCTTATGTTCCAATCCAGCTCCATAGCTTCATCATCATTTCTTAGCACACAAAACAAGCTTCCTCTTTCCATGTATTCATAGATCAAAAACATGCATCTCTTGTGCAAGCAAAATCCATGAAGTTTCACAATGTTTCTATGACGTATTTCTGTTAACATCTTTACCTCATTGTTGAAGCTCTTATCAAAGGTCGGCTCCTCTGCTTCCTTTCGATGCAGTTTCTTTAAAGCAATTACTTGGCCACTGGGCAATTGTGCTCTATAAACACTGCCATACCCACCAGTGCCAATGCAATATCTGATGTCAAAATCCTCAGTTGCTTCAATGACATCTTCATATGCAATCTTTCCATCAAAGTTCCATATTGAGAATATATCCCCATTTTTTGTTGGACTTGGATATGCTTCCCTACTTTTAGCTCTATGTATTCTTCTAGAAAGCAACAACAAAGCCAAAAGTACCAAGACAACAGAAACGGTGCTGGGAAGAATAATTTTAACATGCCTCAACATTTCATTCCTAAGATGGTAATCATATAATTCCTTATTTCCTATGAAAGACCTCTTTGGAAAATGAAGCAAGTTAATTGGGATTTGGCCTGAGAGGTTATTGTAACTGAGATCTAAGGCCTTCAAAGATAATAAATTCCCAAGTTGACGAGGTATCTCTCCACTGATGAAATTGTGGCTAATATTAATTAGTGAGAGAAGATTGAGATTGCCAATCTCAAGGGGGATGCTTCCATTGAAGTAGTTGTTGCTCAATACTAACTCCGTTAATGCAGAGCAACTCATAAGTTGGACAGGGATGGAGCCACTAATTGAATTGTGGCTGATATCAATTCGTGAGAGGAAAAGGAGATTGCATATTTGAATGGGAATGCTCCCACTTAAGGAGTTGTTGCTCAATGACAACTCCACTAAAAAGCTGCAATTTCCGATGTGAGTTGGAATCGGTCCACTCAATTGGTTTTGGGAGAGGTCTACATATTTAAAAGATTGAAAAGATTTCAAATTCTCAATATGACCAGGTATATGACCTTCTAAAAGATTTGAATCAAGATACGAGCTACTCAAAGAAGTTAGATGAAGCGGATTTGGAATGGAGCCTGAGAGACTATTGTAACTAAGATCTAGTGTCTCCAACCTTGATAAATTCCCAAGTTGAAAAGGTATCTCTCCACTTATGGAATTATGGCTGATATCAATTAGTGACAGGCTATGGAGATTGCTAATCTGAAGGGGGATGGTTCCACTTAAAGAGTTCTTGCTCAATGACAACACCCCTAAATTTGTACAATTCCCAAGCTGAATAGGGATGGGTCCACTCAATGTATTTTGTGAGAGGTATAAACATTGCAAAGATGGCAAATTCCCAATATCTCCTGGTATATGACCTTCTAAAATATTTGAATTAAGATACAACTCGGTCAAACTGGTTAGATGAAACAGAGTAGGAGGGATTGAACCTGTGAAACACATCATTAGGAATTTTAGAAGGATTTGACTAATTATTTTGTTCTTACTCTGAAGCAATCAATGAACAAATTATTTTGACTAATTTTTTAGTTAAAGAAAATAAAATAAATGAGTGCAAATCAAAGTAAACAAATTATCCAAGGTTGCTCGATTGAAAATAAATAAATCTAAAAGCCCATCATACCTATAAGACTATTGTGGCTGAGATCCAAGCTTTGTAAATTTGTTAAATTCCCAAGTTGGAAAGGTATCTCTCCATTGATGAAGTTGCGATCAACAGAGAACTTTGAGAGCATAGAAAGACGACCAATTTGGAAGGGGAT